TTAGCCTTCTATCTCAATTCGTTCGAAAGATAGCGTGATTAGAACAGACAGACAGACGGACATCGCTAAGTCGATCAAGAGTGATCAAGAATGGAGGGTATAAAAACTCTTCAGAAGCATTGAATATTAAACGATATTATTTGGAAATGTATAATTGACTTAAAGCTTTGAAGACCTATCTCACAAGATGTCAATGTTTTGAAAGGTGAAATATTTAATTTTTATTCGGTACACAGAGAGAAATTCGTAGGATGTTAAAAATGTTGACAAATCAAAGAATAAATTTAATATAGGAAAGAAAATAATAGCTGTAATTTCTTCTGGAAAATGTTCTCAGTAACATCTGGTAGTAAACAGCTGATTTTCAGTCAGCCGATGCTACTGGGTAATTTGGTATCATCAGCTGATTACAAATTAGCTATTTAGTAGTAGATTTGAAAATATTTGACATTTCTAGTTAATAATTGGATAATTGTGAAGAAAATTGGGGTTCATTCATTTTTCAGAAACTTGTTCACAAATTTACATTTTGAAGAGATAAATTTATATATATATATATATATATATATATATATATATATATATATATATATATATATATATATATATATATATATATATATATATATATATATATATATATATATATATATATATATTCCGTTACCAACAAACAACAATTGATTTATATATATATATATATATATATATATATATATAAAAATCAATTGTTGTTTGTTGGTAACGGAATCAGTTGAAAACGGCTGGACCGATTTGCATATTTTTTTGTAAAAACTTTCCTCATACCCCGAGTTAGGTTTTTAAAGAAAAAAAATATATACCACGCCCACTTTTGCGCCCACAATTTTGATTTATCTAAAATCCTTATATTTCCCAATATACAGGAGATATCGGTTTGAAAATTATTGCACGAGATACTGTTGACTTTTCATCCCCCTCTAAGTATTTATATGGGTCTGAGGAACTGTCGTTGTCAGTACTTTTTAATCTATATCTATCTATATATAAAAGAAAGTTGTGTTAGTTACTACGCTTATAACTTAAGAACCGCTGGACTGATTTTAACGATTCATACAAATTGGGAATTGTCTCCTTTCCGAAAAGGATAATATCAAAAAAAAAAAAAAAAAAAAAAAAAAAAAAACGTAAAAATGTGATATATTAACATTTTCATTTTGACTTTTGAAATGTACGATAGTAATGTTTTATTTTGCATGATTTTTTTCCATTTTGACTTACTTTTTTTTAATGTACATTTGTAGTGTTTTTTTGTATTTTATTTTTGAATTCAAATATTAATACCAATTTATTTAATTGACTTGATTTCTTGAGAAATGAAATTGATGACGAGTTACATGGAAGTGTAGTACCGAATTATGTGGTGGCGAAACGGAATAGATGATGTCGAAATAATTGAATGGAATCGAATTTTAAAATAGTAGTATAGTAGTAGTTTTGCAAACTATATAAGGACCTTTAAACATTTGCTGTAAAAAATCAGCGATCAAGTTGAAGATTTTTTCAATGTGTTATTCTTCTTTTGTCAATTTTTGTCAATTTGTATTATCTAATTGAATTCAGTAAATTTTTTGTGAACAAAATAATTTTTCACTATATACAAATTTTCACCAAAAAATGAAATAAGTGGGAAATACGATGTTAACTGACATCTACCTTTCAACTCCAGGGCCGACATCGTGGTTCAGCTGGAAGATGCGAACACATTTGAACAAACAAAAATTACCGAAAAAGCCTAATGGGACTCATTTCAAAGCGTGGAACTACTTCTTTCCTGTCACAATAATCCGTCCAATGTACATTCACCAAAGTACCAAATTTAAAGGGTGCAAAATAGTAGAACGAATGGGACTTTTAGTAAGAAGAGGATTTCTATCCTTCCAGAAATTCTTCCCAAACATTCAAGATACCTTAAATCGCTTTTGCAGGTCATGATATCGATCAGAACTCACGGATAAGGGTACCGATACCCGATTTCATATTTATATAACCATCGTATGATATGAGCTATTTTTGGTGTCTTGGTCACTTTTTAAATATTTTGGCCATTATTTGGCATCTTTGTTTCTAAGGAGGTAGAGAACCTCTTCGCATAAAGTTTGAAATTTTCAGAGTAGGGCCAATTTTGGTCTTGACCACATTCTTTAATTGATTTGGCTAAAAATTGTATTTATACTACCCTGGGGTAGGGAACCATCATACAGATAATTGCCACATAGGAATTTATTTAAGTAAAGTCCCCACATTGGAGTATCCCCAAGTCCACTTTTACATCTAATTGGTGGTCAGAAAAGAAAATTTTGTTTTCTATTGAATTTGTAACCCCCAAGAGAATATTGGTTGGGCCACGTTTTGGTATAACCCTTATATAAATGTATCCCTGATTTCAGCTGTGACCGTGGTCTTGGCCACGTTTTTCAACTGATTTGGCCAATATTTGCTGTATTTAGGCTACTTTATGAGTAGAGAACCATCTTACAGAAAAATGTCAACATACGTAAATATTTTGGTCCCCAGGCCCGCCGATCTATAGTGATGTTTACCGATTGGCGGACAACAACGCGGGTATTGTTTAATCGTCATTTATTTTACTTTGAACAAGAACATAGACTTTTTGGGGACTCTAATGCGCAATTTGAGGTGCTATGGTAATGGGTGTAAAAGCGTAATTAACTTTGACTATTCATTTTTGCCTCCTCCCATAGTTATTTTACCCTCCTCCCATAGTTATTTATTTCTATTTAGTCGAATCAATATTTATATTAAAATTTGTTCACCTTTATGAGCTAAATTTGTGAAATATTATGCTATGCGAAATTTGCATTAAAGACTAAAACTACGGGCCAGCAACGCGGACCGGGTCAGCTAGTGTATATATATATATATATATATATATATATATATATATATATATATATATATATATATATATATATATATATATATATATATATATATATATATATATATATATATAAATTCTACGTTTTCGGATTGTTTACATATCCACTTAGAATGTCTTTGAAACGTGCTTGATTGGAATAACGGTTTTAGACACTTTGTATTTGGAGTCGATGTAGGGGTGTCCGTTCCTCGGTCTGTCTGGCAGGATAAAGCGCACGACAACTCCTAAAAGGTGTGTACTATTTAGTCCAAACTTTGTCTCTCATATTAATATTATCGAAAATAGGTCGAGTTTGGAGGTAAGAAATATCGGTCTGGTAACTCCCCTACAAAAGCAGAAAATATTTTTTTTATAGATTAAGTATGGACCACCTGATTTTCTTTTCACTTTGCAAATTCTAATATCTTTACCAGTGCTAGGTCAGATGCGAAAATAAGCAATATCGGCTCACTCCATCGAGTATCTGCCCCACAAGGGGTCAAAATTTCGAATAATCATAAGTCGTATGACACATTTTATACGAATTATGATTATTCGAATTTCAACTCATGATTTGGTGTGAAGATGGTTGGTATCTATATTTCCCTCTGGTACCTCTTCCACAAGGGGGTTAACATAAAAACACAAAATTAGCAAATTATGTGGAAAAAATCTACTTTTATAGCTCAGTTCCTGTTCTTCGTTCTGGAAATATTTTAATGGTACCACACGTGAAGTAAATTTTTGGGCGGTAGAATGTTTATATCAAAGTTTACAGGAAAAAAATCTAAGAAAAGTAAACATTTCGTCATGGATCCCGGACCGCTCTTTGTACCTACGTCTTTGGGTACCGTTTAGAAGTACTCAATCAATGTTCTTTGTTCATCCTGCTTGTACTTGGGCCATATGAAACAGCTGTTAACCAATCTTTTGGGAATAATGCAATTGATTATTTGTGACACACCATAACACCATAGCCATAACCGTTACCGCAGACACCAATTGAATTGTTATTTTCTGCCGTAACCATAATTTCCAGAAATATATAAAGAACAGGTGTTTATGGTTATGGCACCGCTAATTGATAACATAACGGCGATGTTGTATGTCATGTCTAATTGAACCCTTATTATGATATCATTTAATTTTTTATACCCTCCACCATAGTATGGAGGATATATTAAGTTTGTCATTCCGTTTGTAACACCTCGAAATATACATCTTAGACCCCACAAAGTATCTATATTCTTGATCAGCATAAAATTCTATGTCGATTTCGCGATGTCCGTCTGTCTGTCCGTGTGGGGAAATCATTCTAGCTTCCATGTTTTGGTATAGGCCCCATATAATGGTACCTCCCTTTTTCGTTATTTTGGTGAATTAATCGACATTATTCACCGGAAATGTTTCAAATTTGGTATTTGAATTTCGTAATCCTTACATCCTTACATCCTACGACAGAAAATTGTCTGTGCAGCTACATTCGGTATTTTTAAGATTTCAACATAATTATAAACGGATTGTATTTTTTTTTTTTAAATTACCGAAGTCGTTCCAAATGTCCACCATTCAAAGATCGGCCCGACCGAACTTAGAGCTGTTGTTCCACCTATGAATATTGAAAAAAGAAAATCCCAACACTCCCTTTAATTTCACTCAAAATTAAACCTACCCCAGTCATATTACATATCCTTATGGCTATGTATGTAGCATCATTCAACTGATAATATGGTCATACAACATAGGTACCCATTTCCATTGTAAATATTATCACTTCGTTGCATTTTAGTATTCCACTCATTTTTTTTTGTTTTCTCAATTCAAGATATTCATTTTCTTCATGTTTTTTACCTTTCGTCTCATGTTGTTGTTTTTGGTGTTTTTTTTTTGTGTTTTTGATTTTTGCATGAAATTTATTTTTTTTCTCAGTTTGTTTTTTGTTTTGACATTTTTTTCTGTCGTGTGTGTTCATTCAATTTTTTTCGGTTTGTCGGCTTTGCTTGGTGAACGCTGTCATCGCAGTCACCGCTGTGAATATCTGCCGCATTTTTATTATTTTCAAGATTTGCCCGTTCGTTCAGTCTTTTGCCTCATTTTCAACGGCCAAAGTCGTCGTGTCGTCGAACGTACCTATCAACACCAACAAAGAAACAAAATCCCCATTTCTTCTCAAAAACGCCACACAACAACAGCAGCAAGAGCAACAAGAACGCAAGCACAGCCCAAGTGAAAAAATAATAAATAAATATCCTATGGACCGGACCACAGCATTGTGAGGTTGCGTCAATATCTTAAGTCCGTTTCGATAACAACGTGGTGTTTTATGCAACAAGGATTTTTTGGTGTTGTTGCTGTTCGGTTTTGGCCAAAAACAAATAACGTTATTATCGTTGATTATTGTTAATATCGTAAAAGAAATTTGTATGTGATACGGTGTACGTGTGTGTGAGAGAGTGTATCTGCACAAGTGACAGTGTTTATGCAACAGTCAAACATATTTTTGCGCAAAAAAAAAAATAAGAAAAGCAAAATATTATCGAAGAAAGAAAGAAATTTATTAATTTTATTTCCTACACTTCGTTTCATAAACAATAGGCAAGGAAAACCAAGAGCAGCAGCAACAACAACAACAGCAAGTGAAAATATTTTACCAAACACAACAAAACCAAACCTACCTACCAACAACTACAAGTGCAAGAAGCGAAACAAATAAAAACGAAACCAACAAACAACCTTGAAAACCCCCACTAAAATAACAGCAACAACAACTACATTTAAACACACAAAAAAGTGAAAATCATTAAAAATATATATTTTTCTTGTGTTTTTTTTTTTTGTTTTATTTGCTACAAGTGCTCATGTCATATATCTTTTTTTTCTTATATTTTCCTGCAGATACAATAATTTATTCATAAACAAAAAACGAAAATATAAAGATAACACAATTTAACAAAATAATATACAATCATAATTTTTATTAACCTGCCGAAAAAAGAAAGAAACAATCAACTACAACAACTTAAACAGCAGTCATCAGTGAATTTTTAAATTTCTTAAGGATTTAAAAAGAAAAAAGAATCAAGGTAAGCAAATATCTTGGAATTAACATTTTAATGTGTTTTTATGAATTGCATATATTAAATTATAAATTTTAGCAGTTGGCATGAGAAATGCATACACACACACACACTGACACCCAAAATTTCTTTATGACATTTTAATTGTGGTCTGGAAAAATACAGAAATACACATATACATATAACACAGCAATAGACATAGTGTCACCTCAGCTGGGGTATTTTGTGTTCGAAAATAATTTTTTTTATAGAATGGCCTACAATTCGATTTTTTTCGTCTGGGACAAATAAATATTTTTAAAAGAGGGAATATTTTGGAAATTTTTTCGGAACAATTTACACTTCCATGGAGATATTATTAGTTTTGAAATTCCGGTTGTAACTCCTCGAAATATTCATGTTACTCCTTGAAAAAATATTCTTTAAAAAATCCATGTTTGATTGGTCCTTGAAAAAATATTCTTTAAAAAATCCATGTTTGACTGGTCCTTGAAAAAATATTCTTTAAAAAATCCATGTTTGATTTGTCCTTGAAAAAATATTCTTTAAAAAATCCACGTTTATTGTGGTCCTTGAAAAAATATTCTTTAAAAAATCCATGTTTGATTGGTCCTTGAAAAAATATTCTTTAAAAAATCCATGTTTGATTGGTCCTTGAAAAAATATTCTTTAAAAAATCCATGTTTGATTGGTCCTTGAAAAAATATTCTTTAAAAAATCTATGTTTGATTGGTCCTTGGAAAAATATTCTTTAAAAAATCCATGTTTGATTGGTCCTTGAAAAAATATTCTTTAAAAAATCCACGTTTATTGTGGTCCTTGAAAAAATATTCTTTAAAAAATCCACGTTTATTGTGCTCCTTGAAAAAATATTATTTAAAAAATCCACGTTTATTGTGCTCCTTGAAAAAATATTCTTTAAAAAATCCACGTTTATTGGTCTTTTAAAAGATATTCTTTAAAAAATCCACATTTATTGTGCTCCTTGAAAAAATATTCTTTAAAAAATCCACGTTTATTGGTCTTTTAAAAGATATTCTTTAAAAAATCCACATTTATTGTGCTCCTTGAAAAAATATTCTTTAAAAAATCCACGTTTATTGGTCTTTTAAAAGATATTCTTTAAAAAATCCACATTTATTTGTCCTTGAAAAAATATTCTTTTAAAAATCCACGTTTATTGTGGTCCTTGAAAAAATATTCTTTAAAAAATCCACATTTATTTGTCCTTGAAAAAATATTCTTTAAAAAATCCACGTTTATTGGTCTTTTAAAAGATATTCTTTAAAAAATCCACATTTATTGTGCTCCTTGAAATAATATTCTTTAAAAAATCCACGTTTATTGGTCTTTTAAAAGATATTCTTTAAAAAATCCACGTTTATTGTGGTCCTTGAAAAAATATTCTTTAAAAAATCCACGTTTATTGTGGTCCTTGAAAAAATATTCTTTAAAAATCCACGTTTATTGTGGTCCTTGAAAAAATATTCTTTAAAAAATCCACGTTTATTGTGGTCCTTGAAAAAATATTCTTTAAAAAATCCAAGTTTATTGTGGTCCTTGAAAAAATATTCTTTAAAAAATCCAAGTTTATTGTGGTCCTTGAAAAAATATTCTTTAAAAAATCCACGTTTATTGTGGTCCTTGAAAAAATATTCTTTAAAAAATCCACGTTTATTGTGGTCCTTGAAAAAATATTCTTTAAAAAATCCACGTTTATTGTGGTCCTTGAAAAAATATTCTTTAAAAAATCCACGTTTATTGTGGTCCTTGAAAAAATATTCTTTAAAAAATCCACGTTTATTGTGGTCCTTGAAAAAATATTCTTTAAAAAATCCACGTTTATTGTGGTCCTTGAAAAAATATTCTTTAAAAAATCCACGTTTATTGTGGTCCTTGAAAAAATATTCTTTAAAAAATCCACGTTTATTGGTCTTTTAAAAGATATTCTTTAAAAAATCCACATTTATTTGTCCTTGAAAAAATATTCTTTAAAAAATCCACGTTTATTGAGGTCCTTGAAAAAATATTCTTTAAAAAATCCACGTTTATTGTGGTCCTTGAAAAAATATTCTTTAAAAAATCCACGTTTATTGTGGTCCTTGAAAAAATATTCTTTAAAAAATGTTGCGGAGCAGTGTAAATAAAACCAAAAAGAAAATAAAACACAAGAAATTAATATTTTAAAATAAAAAAATTGGCGGTTTTATTATGTTATTATATTAGTCGAATAACTAATATAATTTTACCTTTTTGTACAATTGGTGTTGCAGCGATGTTGTTAAGACGAAGATCGAAATATTCATTTTGCACAGATCAGTCAGGCAGGTCAAGTTTAAAGATGGGCTATATCGGTCCTTGATATCATATAAACCCACATATCGGTACCCCCCATATTCGGTATTTTGATGATGTAGCCAAATTTTTCAATGCAATTGTCTTAAAATCCACAAAAGGATTTTCTTCTGAGTACTTTACACCCTGGAAGAGGGGCCCCCAATATTCGATATTTTGATGATTTTAGCGACATTATTCGCAGGAATTGTTTCAAATATCGTATATGAAGTTTGAAATCGGTACTACAGCCTATGAAATTAAAATTACTTAGGCAGTGAATCTGTCTTTAAATTGTATGTGAATCGGCTGGAAAATAATGCCGCAGACTGAAAATATCCACAATCAATATATGTAAATAATTTTATATTTTTTTTTATTAGAATACGGTTGGAAAATATAATTCGGATCTCAAAAAAAAAAAAAAAAAAAAAAAAAACAAACAATTACAAGTGGATGTTATAGTATTCGGTTAGTAGGTCAAAATCCCAAAAGTGCTATGGATTCCTAGACGATTTTTTTAGAATCTACTTTATAGTCTTTACCAGGCACAAATGGTCTCAAATATTTTGCTGAATACTTCGCAAAATTTAAGATGGAGATTTAAAATTTGATACAGGCCTTTGGGTTACATGTGTAATCAGTTGCGGAAAATATGTTTTGGTATAGCCTACATGTTAGGGTACATCCAAACTTCAAGTATTTTTACATTGAACCCCTATTTTTATACCCTCTGTCATGTGGCTACAGGGATATGACCAAAATGTGCCTACTAGAAATAAAGGTTTTTACCCGTACTTCTCATTGGATTAAATTCGTTTTAGGATATTTGCAGTCGATCTAAAGGGGTCCGTACGTCTATCGGGCTGGCTGATACGCTCTATAACTTTCGAAGAGAGTATCCGAATTGTTAAAAACTTGTTACACCGTAATATTATAATCAAACTTACATCGAGTTTGGAGACGATCAATAGAAGTTCACTCCTTCTGGTACCTCCCCCACAAGAAGTCAACATTTTCATAGAAAATAATTTAAGAATATAGCAAGAAATGATCATGCAATTATATATTCATACAGTTATATTTTGCAAATACCAATTTTTTTATTAGTGCTAGGCCCGACACAAAATGGACAACATTGGCCCATTCTTTCAGATCCTACTCCACAGAGGGTCAACAATTTAAATAAACATGACAAGTGTCAAAATATATTTAAATAATCGTACATTGGTTGAGGGTACACATTCGTCGGCAAAACTGATTGATACTTTTTAACTTGTTTATTAATAAGGATTCCTTTTCTTTGGTGACTCATAGTAAATTTTCATAAAGAACTATGCGCTTAAAGTCATCCATCTAAAATTATGTTTTGATGGAGATTTTTTCTCAAGCCCACACAAATTATTAAGGTTAATTTGCGATGTAAATTATTAAAAAGTCTTCTCTTTCTAGCCCTACTTTTACAATCTGCTAGATTTTCCGTTAATTAAAGTTCCGTTGCGGAAACTCCACTACAAAACTTAAAAAAAAAACAAGTAAGCAAAGGCTACAGTCGAGCGGGGCCGACCGACAACACTATAATAAATGATACAGTTTATATAGGCGAGATACTCGAAAGAATTCCACAAGATATTGTGACAAATAATAAAAGAAAACCATCAGGTTTCGTTCTCTAATTTTCGAATAATAGCAACTTAAACTATTTTGCTCATTTTCAATTTATTGGTAGATGTTGCACGTAAATGGTCTCCCTAGATCTGGAACCAATATTTCCCAAAGACCTATAATCTCTCAGAAGTGGCAAAAGATTAACATTTATTATTGGTTTTTGACTTAAACGCATATATGTGAGATACAGACATTTGGCTATATTCTTCAACAAAATCAGCCTTAACGAAATAGTCAGAAGTGCGTCTTTCTTGTATTTGTGAATTCTCCAAAAAGACACTGGAATGGATATTTTCGTATTTTGTCTACAAAAGTTGGCAAACTATTTCACACATTGAATATTTTTGGATGGCCATCCAAAACTATTTGGCTTTTGCAATGTCCGGTAACCTCCATTCAAATGCGATCGGGCGATAATTACGACTTGCTGAAAATTTTGCAGTTTTTTTGTCCATTTCAACCCCTAAATATATGGCGATTTTCTCCAAAAAGGGTAGGCTTCTATTCTGACCCTCATCTTATCCCCATGCAAAATTTCATAAGGATCGGGCCATAAATGCGATCTGTATATAATATCCTGATATCCTAACTACTTAGTTTTGTTAGCTGTAGAAATATTACAAAATATTTAATTCAAAATGAAATTATGCCAAAAATATGACAAAATTGAAAAAAATATGAGAAAATATTACAAAATCAACATTTTCATCTTTAGAGATATATTTTTATGCGATTTTTTAGGCGTTTTTTCTTTCCTGCGAAGAGGCTATTCTGAATTAATGAGAACTGTCGAAATCAGTTCAGCCGTTCTCGACATATAAGAGATCTTTCAAGCATATCTTCTTTGATAGACATATATATCGCACATATTTTGCTATATATCCGATTTGTTGGATGTTAACATCAATGTAAAGATCAGAGGTAACCTTGTCATGGCTTTTGATTTCGCCGGGATTTAAAATATTCGCGGTTTAATGAAAAATTTTGATTTTTTTCAACACAAA